CACGCATCCCTTCTCTTTCTCTCTACCCACTCTCTCTCTCTCTCTCACACACACACACACATCACTCACTCCCTTGTCATTGCGCCGATCTGCTCGTCTCACGAAAATGTCACCACCATCGGTGTGAAAAGCCACCACCGTCGTCGCGACAGTTGCGAAGACACCACCACCACTGCGCTTAAGACGCCACCATCAAGCAGCGTCGAAGCCCCACCACTGTCGCGCGACGATTGCGAAGACATTACCACTACTGCGCTAAAGACGCCACCATCGAGCGATGTCGTTCTAAAGCAGCAGCGCCGCTGCGAAGACGCTGCTGCAGGCCATCACTCCGTAGCACCGCATCTCGATTTGCACAACGTCGGAGCTATGTTGACCGGCAATGTCAAACCAATATTGTGGGTTGTGATTTCTAGTTTGTGGTGAGCGCCGGTGATGTTTGTAGCTTGTGGTTTCTGGCGATGAGCATTGCTGATTTGGTTTTCCGGCTAGGTTGTGTTGGTGCGGGTAGATCTATTGTGGTTGTGTTGGTGCGGGTGGATTTGTTGTGGTTTTTTTTGGGGGTGTGTTTACGCATCCGGGTGTTTTTTTGTTGGGGGTAATGGTGGTGCATTTTGGCCTTTGGTGAGGTGGTGTGATGGTGGATCTAACACTGTTGACGACTTTGGTGGTGGATAATTTGTACCGATAATTTGAAAATTTTGTGGATATCTGATAAGTTGTTGACGACGTTGGTGTTGGCAGCGGCGACGATGTTGTGTTGGTGGTGGTCACAAATGATTTGGTTGATTGTGATCAATAAATTGGTTGTGTGTGACCAATAATTTGGTAAATTGTGACCTAAATATAATTTGTGATAAATTAATTTGATGTTTTGTGACCATAAAATAAGTTGTGACTTGTGATCAATAAATAATATGTGATTATTAATTTGATAGATTTGTGATCGATGAATAAATCGTGCTGTACAAAATTTTGATTTGTGACCGATGAACAAATTGTGACCTATAAATTTTTTAAATTGTGACTGTAAAATAATTTGTGACATATAAAAATTGTGATTTGTGACCAATTAATAATATGTGACCAAATATATGGAATTTGTAACCAAATTATATGGAATTGTGACCTTAATATATTTAATTAATAAAATATATATTTAATTAATTAATTTATTTATAAATAAAATTCAAAAAACTCTGAAATTTGAAATTTTAAACATAATCTCTTAAATTTGAAATTGGTAAAACTGAACCTCTTAGTTAAATCTTCCATTTTTTAAAGTTTGATATCATTTCAATTTGGACCAATTTCAGTTACATTAAAAAGAGTGATTCGAAAAGTTTTAAGTCTATTGAAATTGGATCAATGTTTCATGGGATTAGTTCCATTCCAATAGAACAATACAAATTAAAAATGTTGTAAAACCTGTTAAATAGATTATATAACGATCAAATTAAATACATATTAAATCAATTTAAATACATGTTGAATACCTACATATTATACATATTAAATAATATGAATTCAACCTAAATACTAAAAATGTTAAATCATCCAAACTCAATACAAAATTTCCTCCTTCGATCCAAGTATTTTGTCAAAAATTACGTCAAAAAATTGAGTCGAGACACGAGCAGCAATGAGACGCAAGAGAGACAAGAGGCAGAAGAGATGTGAGACATATGAGAATTTTGACTATTAGATTTTAGGTTTTTCGTTTGGGTTGGGTTGAATTTGATTAGGTTTTAATAGATAACCCAAAACCAACCTGAATGTGCTAAAAATTCAATCCAAATCGGTTAGTTTGGATTGGGTTGATCGGTTTGACTGGTTCGAATTGATTTCTGCCCAACCCTAATTACAGAGACAAAAGCATGAGGGAAAAAATTGGGAAATTGAAATATTAAAAGTAAAAAATGGGTCCCTTACCAACATAAAGTTCAGTAGACCCCTTTTTAGATTTTAATACTTCAAGACTGACATTTGTTTTTGAAATCATAAAATAGCCTCCATTGTTGACTATTCTTTAACTAGTTTAACAACTTAATTTTATGCATTTAACCCTTCAATTAAATATGTGGCCATTAGAAAATTATATTTCATTGTTTTTAGAATTTTATAAACCACCGTGTTAATTATAATGTAAAGACTTCTTTAAAAAAAATAATAAATAAATAAATTTATGGATGCGTGGTTTAAAACTAGCTTGGCTATTGGACGAAATTATACCGAAACTCTAGTACGATTATATGTTTAACAATTGTACCACTTGGCTAAATGACCTTGATGTAATAATTGTTATATTTCTTTAATTTGGTAAACAAATAAGAATGAACTTAAAAAGTAATCAAATGGTATTTTTTTTTTTTTTTAGAAAATGCCTCAAGGTGATACGGATTTATTGATTGAAAGACTAATTCGACTACTAGAATGACAGACCTATTAATTAAACCAACAAGCAAACACAATTCAGAAGAACCTAAGCCAGAGATAGGATAGATTGGTGAATGCTTTAGGCATCTAATTCCTCAAATTTTTGAAGATGTGATCGATCCTTTCTATGTTGAGAATTAGCTTAGGACGATAGAGTGAACTTTCACTTACTGTCAAATTCTCGAAGAAGACAAAGTTGACTGAGCCACTGTTATGTTGTGAGGTAGTGTAGGACGTTAGTGGGACACCATTCAATGTATCGAGGATACAGCCCAAATGACTTGGGCTCGTTTTTGTGAAACCTGCCAAAACAGTCGGTTAATGGTTAGCGGTAAACAGCCGGCCCAGGAGTCATCTATAGCCAACTGTTAAGCTCCAATAATAGAAAATATATGTAATACACCCAATGATATACCTAAATAATGAAGAATAAATATTATATATAACAATTTAAAATACAAAAAATGAAATATAAATTTCATAATCGAAAAACAAAACTAACATTAATTGAAGATAATGACCGGTGTGTGGTGTTAGACGTTGTGTTTGATTGTGAGGTGTTTCTTCAAATGTGAACTGTGGTGAGAGTTGGTTTTTCTTTCTATCAAACAGTTTGTGTGAAGATAAGGGTATTTTTGAATTTTGTTATTAAACTTAGCATTTTATGTATTTTAACTGTTTTTTTAAATAGTCAACCGACGAGTTAATTGTTTCATTAGCCACTGAACTTTCATAAATGTCGTGGTTTACTCACTAACCTTTAAAACTTATCTCATTGGCCACTCAACTTTAAACTTTGCCGCTCCGTTGGCCACTGGATCAAAACCGTTAATAACGTTGTCCACGTGGCTGACGGAATGGTGACGTGGTACGTTAAAATCCACGTCAACGCCAT